GCATCTTCCAGAGCCTGACAACCCAAGTTGCGATGATGCACCTGATGACGGCTGAAGTCACGACGTGAACTTGTGGTTCACGGCATGAATCCAGAAAATTAGCCCTATAAATAGAAACCGAAGGGCAGCCGGCCATGGTTGCTAACTCACCATTCTCTTACTTTCTATACACTTTCTAAGCCATCTTGAAGCACCTCCGAAGTCCCGGTATCATCCCGACACCCGAAGCTAGTCCCGAAGCTCCGAAGATCCCGAGATGAAAACATTTTTTGATCTGAAGCTCTGCCCGCGAGAAGCCCGGTTTTTGAAGATATACCGATTTCATCGAAGAATACTACTAGAAGAGCCGTAGTGCTGTCTGATCATCATCTTATCAAGTGAGTGCATAGTCTCTTTCATAAACACGGTTTTAATACAAGTATTGTTTGAATGTATTAAGTATATGTTTTGAGTGAGTGTATATTCATTTTCTTCTAACGCATAGATACAAAGTATTCTCTATTAAATTCGTGCTATGTGTTTATATATTATTTATTTATTTGAGATAAGTGTTAAATGAATGTTTTATACACGTTTTAAGCTGTATATTTATTTTTTTTATCTACAAATATATTGGGTGAAACATGGGTAGATAGTTGATGTGTGATTAAATAAAATGATGATAGGTCTCGATGTTGTTGTTGACCTAGTCATCTAGCGGATTATGGATGACGACCACATACTCTTTCTAGACAGTACAGTGAAACGCTGACCGGTTCAAAACATGTAGGTGTTGTGAACGATGTGTTCATTGGTGTACTCTATCCCCCTCATTGTTGCCTTTAGGACGTTTATTGTTGAGGAAACCCCTTTGCAGTAGTGTCCATCCCGATGATAATCCTTAGACTATGTCCCTTGTGATAGTTGTTTTAAGGGATGTAAAGTGAGGATAACGGGAATGAGTAATCGGGTTATTGTTGGTTGATAAAATTAAAATAGTTATTTATTATGGGTTGAAAACCCTATATGCTCACCAAGCTCCTAAGCCTGACCCACTCAGTTTCTTTGAATTACAGGTAGTGGCACGAGAGAATAAGTTGGACAGCTTGTGAAGATATTTTGTTTATAGACCAGTAGTTGTAAATAACTGTTATAAGGTCTATGTTGTACTGTTTATGCTTTTGGTCTATATCGGAAAATGACATCGTGAGTTTTGTTATATAATGAAAATACATGTCTTTAAGAAATGCTTTGATAAACTTTATTTTATCATATTGTGTTTTGAGAACAAATTTTGCAACTCTTTTAATCAAAATATTACTTTGAAATTATTGTAAAAACATAAATTAAACCGGTCTTTCTTTGACCGTGAATTTGGGGATGTCACAGTTGCAGCGACGATCCCTCGTGTATGCGTACACACCAATAACGTTTTCCCTAAAATAATTATATTTGACATCACATTTAAATTAATAATAATATTATTTTAATTGATGTGTTAAATAATTAATTTAAGTATGAGAGGACTTATAAATAAATTGAAGATATGTGGGGATTAAATTGGAAAGTTGGAAAATGGGTTTATGGTTGAAAATATAGGTTTATGGTTGGGTGCTTGGGGTTTACAGTTGGATCATAAATATATGAATTCCATATGAAGATTTGAAGGCATATATGAGTGTTTTTGAAGGAAATTATGAAGATTTGAAGGTGTAAACACTTGAACATTGAGAGGATTTGACACTGCTCACAGAGAGAATTTTGAGGCTCTTTACAGTTAAAAGTGGGTGAAATGAATTAATCAGAGTGTAAACCCATATATATATATATATATATATATATATATATATATATATATATATATATTATATATATATATATATATATATATATATATATATATCTGTGTGTGTGTGTGTATATATCTATATAGGATATAGATACGGTAAGAAAATTTTTTTGGTAGGAAGGTAAGAAGTTTTTTTCTACATATTTTTTTGACGAATAAAATAAATGAATCACTAGATGATTCATTTGTAAGATGATTCACAAGAAAAAATTCCCAAAAAAACATATTTATGATTCATTTTTTAGTAAATTAAGAAAAAATTCATTTTTATGACAATTTTAGTGAATAACAACAAAATCATTGTATAAATGAATCATCGAGATGTTTTTTTGAGATTTTTTTGTTGTGAATCATCTTACAAATGAATCATCTAATGATTCATTTTATTTGTTCGCGAAAAAAATATGTAGAAAAAAAACTTCTTACCTTCCTACCAAAAATTTCCTTCTTATTTGATCTTCATTCTATATATATATATATATATATATATATATATATATATATATATATATATATATATATATAGGAGGTGTTTACGGATGAAATGAGATTAGGCCTAAGGTGTTTACGGTTGGCTTATAGAGCTTGAATCGAAAGTTAGCCCATTAAGGGGTGTTTACAAATGAATTGAACCGTGAACACATGTTTCTTTTTCCACTTTGGCCGTAAACAACAGTTTCCTTTTATGCATGGACCTTGAACTCCATGGGACGTTCACTATTGGACCATGAACTCATTTATTGCATTAATTATTTTGGGTGAAACTCTTTTATTTGTTATATTTATGGTTTAAACCGCTAGTCTTTTAACTTATGTTTATTTATAACACCCTAAATTAGCTTAATTTTCAACCCATGCTTCTTTGTTAACTCTTTAAACAATACTTTTAAAACCTTGCATTACTTTGTATTACTAAGTTTTGGACTTGTATTTGTTTGCATTAAACCCATTTTGTATTTAAGTACTTATATATATGTTTAAATAAACATGCACACTAGGCATTTAAAGATCTTATAGCAACAATTTAGACTTTTATTGATTCCAAAACAATGGGTTGTCACAAATCGCTCCACTCGCTCCTTTAGTTCTGTCCTCGTTTAGGGTTGTTTGCCCATGAGTTTCTGGGACAACGATCTTGGTAACAATCCCTAGGTGAATGCTCCCGCGATCAAACCCACATTGTGCCCTGGAATGTCTAGCATCGCTTTAGTGAACCTAGCAAAATAGTCCTTAACTGTCTCCCCCTCTTGTTGTTTGCACCCAATGATCGAGTGACAATCGCCCTTGTACTTCCGGAGTTGCATGAAGTTGGTTAGAAAAAGGTACTTTAGCTGGCTAAAGTTGCTGATGCTGCTTGGGCATGGTGTCTTAAACCATGTCCCCGCGTTGTCATCTAAGATAGCTGGGAATTATGTGCACCAGAACCATTTTTCTAGCTTGAGGAATGTCATGTTCCATTCGTATGTATCGATGTGGCTATCTGGGTTAGTAGTGTCATCATATGTCTTATGGTGGGGTAGTTTGGCGGTGTTAGGGATTTTATATTCTAGGAGCTCTTTGACGAATGGCGATGTGACACTTCGTAATAGGTAATCTTGGTTTGGGGTTCGCTAAGTGAAGGGATACCCTGACTGTTGTATTGCCAAAAAGAGTTGTACCAACATGTTACTATAGGCTGTAAGGTCTGGCGTTACTGAGCCGTAGAAGTTTGATGGCTGAAATGGAGTAGGGAAGGTGTGAGTCATGGGTATTTGTTATTGGGCTATAGATATTTGCTGTTGGACCATGGGTATTTGTTGTTAGGCCATGGGTATCTGCTGGTGGGCCATGGGTATGTGCTGTTGGGCCATGGATATTTGCTGTTGGGCCATGGGTATCTGCTGGTAAGGCGCGAGTGGTGATGTTGACGCGGTGCCCGCCATCAATGATGGGTGATTCTATGGTTGTGATGTAGCATTTGGGCAAGTTATAGTGTTGTTTGCATGTAAACTGCTCACAAGAGGCGTTATGGGTGTTGTTTGAGGGTTGCTACGACCGGTGATGTTAGGGAAAAATGGCGGCAAAGGGGGTAAAATGTATTGGTTAGGCACATCGTTATTTGGGAATGGTGGGGACGTGACATGAGTCAGGGTGGATGGCGGCGTTTGTGTCTAGCTTAAGACCGACTGCATGATTGCTGCAACGGAGGGTGACGAGTCATCTAGTAGCGGTACCGTCGCGGGGTACGATGGCAGACCTCCGAATGATGGTGTTGGATCAAGAGTTGGTGACAGGCCACCGAATGATGGTGTTGACTCTAAACACAGTGGCAGGCAATCAGATGATGGCGCTACTTCAAGAGATGGTGACAGACTACCGGAGAGTGACACTGCTTCAAGAGATGGTGGCGCTACTGGAGTGTCGGTTGCTTCTAATGACACCATTGGGTGTATCGGGCTGGTTCCAATGGCTCACCCGTCGTCTTCTTCGTCAAGCGTGGTTAACTTGAGATGTCAGCCGCTCCGAACCACCTTAGTTGCTGAGAGATGGTCGTCGGAATAGAACCTAAAAGGTCACAAAGAAGAAATGTCACCCGGTCTCCGGGATGAGGTCCTGGAAAGACGCTCCGACGGTCAAGTTAGTGGGATGAATATGGAGTGAGAAGGAGAATGATCGGGGAAGAATAGCTTACCTCTCAAGGCAAAGTTACTGGCCTTTTATACTTCGGATTTTCCTCGATCCGTACGAGGGACAAGAACTGTGGCCCCAACAGGATCTGTCATCCTTATTGGAGGACCATGTTCCACGTTCGTGTCTGATCCAATGATTGGTCCACGCGGTAATGCTTTGGCCATGCTCTTTGTCGCCTAGAGCCATTATCTTTGGACTGTAGCTAAGGACAATCCTTGGCAAGGGCAGACTTCCCACACGGTCGCCTTGCGGGGGTCCTGGGTTGCCAGAGCCGCCGGGTCGCCAACCCAGGCTTCGATGGGAACTCCTCATCGGGGGTTCGCTTGTTCCTGGCCCGCTCTGAGGGGCGCATCATCAAAAACATTTTTGAAAATCTTTTCCTTAGTTTGAGACTGGATTCACACAAGTGTCCCTCCAATTCACTCAAACCAAGGCTCTGATACCAACTTGTAACATCCATAAAAATCAAGCCAAATTTAAACTTTTCCAAACATTTCAAAACTTTTAATTATTACAAAACTTGTTTTCGAAATAGTATTTCATCAGAGTATCCTGGACACAAATCATAAACCAGAGGAGCTGTACGAACACGCCTTCGCCTTTCCGTGATCATCTGATGTACCTGAAACCAAAAACTGAAATTGTAAGCCCAAATCTTAGTGAGTTCCCCCAAAATACTGATACATAAAAACAATACACATAATAATAGCATTTAATTGGTCCACAGATCTATAGACTGGATTACCCACTAGGCCCACAACTCACATCTGGCATGCCTCTGAGCCCACAACATAAGTCTGGTTTGCTTCCGATTCCACAGCTTATGACTGGCTTGCCCCCTACAGTCCTAACACTTAAACATAAATGATCTATCCTTAGTACGCGTCTAGCATATCACTTGGTCCTCAGCTCGTATCTGGCAAGCGAATGAGTCTTCAGTATGAGTTTGGTATGCCTTCCCGACCCTCATCACATATCTGGCATACTCCAGGGTTTGTTGGTCACTACACGAGGCAGTGCAACCTCAACCCTACCCACACGAACATGTCTACATATACAATTAATTTCACATACAAATAATCAAACAGTAACACATGTAGTCCTACAGATCTACCTAACTGGAATAACAAATTAGCATGGATAACTATCTCACACTCAACACATCATCAAACAACTGGGAAATCAAATCCAATTGGCCGATGTTAGTGCCTTAGACCGCTTAGTATAGTGAGGATAACTCACATCTTAACTGTCGAATTGAATTGATAATTCAAAATCTCGAACCACGACCATGAACTCCAACACCTGTCATTGCCATAAGATATTTTCCTTAAATTCCAATTTACCAAAATACCCAAGAAGTTAACTAGTCAACCCTTGGTCAAAGTCCAAGTCAATGGTCAAGGTCAACATTCCATGTTGACCCGACTCGTCGGGTGTAGTTCACCGACTCGTTGAGTACTCCCTGAACTCGAGGAGTCGTGAAATCCCCCATCTACTCGCTGAGTTCCTACATGATCCAAAAGTTGAGAAAACCCTAGCTGACTCGCCGAGTCCTCATATTAACTCGCCAAGTCCATGCAGAAACCCTTGCACAATAATCTTCATCGGACTTGCCGAGTTGGCCATGCAACTCGTCAAGTCCCTTTAATCCATTCCAAAGCCTCATATTGCAGATCTAAGCTCTTAATGCATACTTCTTACGTAAAGGTGAAAACCTTACATACATACAAGGTGCTAATGACTTAAATCAAGCTAAGGAAGAGATTCTAGACAAGGGAAGTACACTAGCATGCTAAAGACTGAGACTTTATGATTGTAAGGGCCAAGATGAGCCTAGCTCGAAAGTTGCAACTTTAGATATTTGTTCATCACTCGAAATGAAACACCACTATGCCAAAATGGCCCCAAAACTCAAATATAGAAAGATCTAGCTATAAGGAGATAAAGGTAACGATTTGATACCTTCAAATGATGCTAAAATGGGGGTAGACTTCAAATCCACACATGTTCCTTGCCTCAAACTACTTGATCTTCAAGCTCCTCTCACCAAGATCCACCTTCCAAGCTTAACACACACAAATATGGATAGAAAATGGCAATTTAGATTTTTAGGACTCACAAGGGGCTGTAAAGGAGGCTAATGACCCTTTAAATAGGGTGCAAAACCCCAGAAATTAGGGTTTCATTCTCAAGCTCGAACTCGTCGAGTCATCTCTCCGACTCGACGAGTTGGTTATTTAAAACATGTGGCTTCGAAATTCCTACTCGATGAGTCAGGGCATCAACTCGTCAAGTAGACCTTTTAATATGAAAAATAAAGGTGTAGAAATTAATACCTAAGAGTTGGGGCGTTACACTGGGTGTACGTAATCAAAGTTTAAACCCTAACTTTAGGGCATGAGCCCTATTTAAGCATTTTTATGACGTTTGGACACTTAATTTTATTAGCCTCTATTGCTAATTGCGTCCCCAAAACCCTAGTTTACCATTATGAGTATTTTTTTTAGCTTGGAAGTAACTTTAGTGGCCATTTTAGTGTGCTTGCAAGAAGAAGAACTTGGTGATCAAGCTTTGGTTGAGGTTGAGCTTTGAGATCCCGAGTCTACATCACCTTAGGAAGCTTTTGAAGGTAAAAAGCTCTTATCTTGGTGATTCTTTTTGGTTATTAAAGTTAGGGCTTGTTATGAGCTAATTATTGGTCCCATGAGCTCTCTTGTGAGTTTAGGCAACTCTAGGAGTTTGAGGTGTTAGATATCTGTCCCGTAGAGGTGTTAGGTGCATAAAAATGTCTCCTTGATGAAAGACATGATCCCATGCATGAAAGAAGATCCTTAATGAGAGACTTGTTGGACAAGAGTAGATGTTGGGCTCCACTAAGGCATGCTAAGGCATAAAGTTGCCAACTTTATGTCTTAGAATCCTATTTTGGTCGAGATTTGGAAATTTAAGTGTAGGGTTGTAAGAAATAAGCGCTTAATCGATTATGGTGGTATACAACTTAGTACGCAGGGCGTACCAACGTGTAAGCAACGCATATTGGCTTGCGGACTCGTACGCCAAGTGTACACAACATACACTAAGCGTATACCCTTTAATGGGCTTTTGGAGTTCCGTTGGCCTTAGAATTTTGGGCGTTAGCTATTTATTGGGCTTTTGTTTGTGGGCCTTTATCAACTCAAGTTGGGCCTTATGGGCCTTGGGGCCGAATGGGGGGCTAAGGGTCAAGGTTGGTTCGACCCATTTTAGGTGTGGTGAATGGGCCTTACCCTTAGGAGTTGGATGGAATCTAGGCCCATGGCTATGTCTTTTTATCATTTCCTTATTAGAATAATTTGTTTATGTTCAATGTGGGATCTTTTTTGGTCAGTAGTCGAGCACTTAGTATTTTTCAGTAGATTGAGGTGAGTCTTCTGACTATGTTCATGGGTCAAAGGCACCAATGACGACCCATGTCTGATCACGTAGAACGTTGTTAACTTTTGTGATAATTGTATAGAATACCAAGGGGGTAGCCCATGACACTTGAGTGTAAGACTAGGATTTGTCCCTCGACTTCACAAGGAAAGACCATGGGGGTAGCCCATGTCACTCATATGTAAGATCGGGATCTGACCCGCGACATTGTGAGTAAAGACCATGGGGGTGGCCCATGACACTTCCATGTTTACTTTTTAGTATGTGATATGATTGGGAAACTCACTAAAAGTTTCCTTACAATTTATATTTGTGGTTTCAAGTACTTCTGGTACTAGGGGAAGGGCCTGACTTGATGGCGCAACATTCACTCCTCACTAGTTTTTCGCAATTTGAAATTTTACTCTGATAATTTGATATTATTATTAATGAATAGTTTTGGAACAATGCGATGATTGTAACTTTTGTGTTTACTTAAAATGAAATATTTGATCCTGGTTTTTGGGTTGTTACAACAAAGCTTTTGAATTTTATAATCTTAACTTTTTGAATAAAAAGTTAATCATTCTTCTTGTTTCTACTCAATACCCTCAATCAAATTTCGCAAACGTAATTCTTGAGTTTTCATCAAATAACCAATTACATAATTATTTCCTCCAATATCTACTATAATTTGAAGAAGAGAATTGATCTTTGAGTTCAAAATCTTGAACTGCTTACCTGACATAATTAGTTCATCAGGAATATCTTCTTCATCTAGATTGAATTGAATCTCTACAAACGAAACCATGACATATTCATCATCGGCTTTGTCTCCTTGGTGTCACTTCTCACTGGATTATAAGGAGAAAAGAGTAGTGATGGGTTCTTGCATAACACCAAAAAATGTTGATGAGACAGTCGAAACAAGAACAAAAGTAGGAATAGGTGATGTTGGTAGTGGTAAAGCTGTTGAAGTTGCAATGGAAGTTGTGACAGTAGATTTATTATTGATCATCCCTTTATCCATGTTGACATTTGTGTCCTTATTAGATAAGTTCACAGTGATGTCTGTGAAGGGTTTCGGGCATTCTAACACTCCTAAGGTGTACATGCAACCCTAGATACCTTGGATCTATGTTTTCTCTATTATACATGCAAACTTTCAATTTTCCAAGACATCACCCTAACTAGCATACTATGGAGTATATACAATACAAAAATCTAGTTGAATGACATACCTTTTCTTATAGCTTGAAACCTTAAGCCTTTAAGAGCCTAGCACACCAAGTGTGATGCCTCAAATGATTCACACAACACCACCAACAATTAGAAGAACTTGAGAGAAGTTTACTTGCACTCAATATTTGCTAGCCCTCTTTCCTTTCACTTAAGTGTCGATTTTGGTAGCTATGGGGTCCTTTATATAGTGTGACACAACTAGGATTACACCATGCAAACCCTAATGTGCATGACTTTCCACATTCCTCATGCTCCATGGGTTTTAACCTCCATGGAGTATCTATGGGTCACCACATGGGTTTAGCCCAATTTAAAGAACTATGGATCATAAGCTCACTATATAAGAATGAATGATTTACACAATCAATCCCCATATATTTAATTAGTCTCTTTTGATCACAAAATTGATTCCAAATTAATTCTTTGATCATTACTAATTAAATAATATGATTTCATATTAATATATTAGAACTTATAATATATTAATAAATCACAAGTATCCTCTTCTCAAAAGTCCATCCTTACAAATTGTTCCGGTGCCATGCAACCCAAAAGGACCATGCTACTCTCGATTCAAGTACATACCAATTATACTTATGGGCTTAAACATTAAATCCAATAATCTGGAGTTCCGAACTCCTCCTGACCGAAATCGGTATTCGAAACCTCGGACGGTTTGACTAAAGCCTTCTTAGGAATGTCGGTTTGTTGTTGGTCTCCTAAATTGATGTTTGTATCCGTATCATATACGTTTACGGGGACACCTCCTCGAAAGTCGACTTGATATGGGTATCCTTTTGTGGTGAACCAATAAAATAATCCTCGATTCGAATGTCCGACCTAGCGCTATCACTATTATTCTCGTCCTTGACAGTTACGTTCTCACGTAGAACACTAAGTTTTAACTGTTGATCCACATCTAAAGCTCGATGTTTCTTTGAGGATGGGGATCTTGGATACAAAACTTTATGAACAAGAACTCCCCTCCTGGTAAATTGTAACTGTTTAACCTTCTTTGGACCACCCTCAGAAGAAACAGGATTTGCGGGTTCGAAAACATTGGGTTCAACACTTTCGACAACTTGCTCTTGAGCATATGTCTTGATGGGAGAATCAGAAGGTTTCTTAGTAGGTTTCTTAGTACATTTAAGAACCCCAGTTTTCATTGCTATGGTTTCTTTAACACATTCCTCCTCCATTACTTGTGGTTGTTCTACTTGTTTCTTTTTCTTCAGAGCCTTAGACCCTTTTGATTTTCCTTCTACCCTTTTGTGAGAAACTTTTGGTGGAATAACCCCAGTTGGATTAGAAGACTCAATCGAATCCAAATATTGCACCAACAACTGATTTTTAGGATCCACCAATTTTGAGCATCGAATCCAGAATTCGAGCAACTTTGGGAAAGACATTAGTATCATCCAAAGAAACCCTGAGCAGTCATCATCAGGAATTTTGCGGTATTAACACTTGATCGAACCATAATATTCTCTTGACTTAAGATCTCCTTTATAATTAATCCCTAAAACTGTGAACTTGACACACCAGTCGCTAGCTTCGTGTGAGAGATTGAAATTCCAAATTCTTCCCATTAAAGTGAAGCATAATCGACATTTAGACTATAGTATAATCCTGCCATAACAGAGTATACTTCAAGCTTGGCTTTATCAAGTCCAAAGATTCTTCATGTCTAACATCTTAGAACGATCCTAAACAAGAAACTCTGAACACATGGAAGACTGGACTTCTTAAAGTGGCTAATTGCGATGAGTATAGGTTGATGTCCCATTTCGTTGAACATATGAATAACTTGATCATTGTAACTTCACTGAAAGTACCTGAAGTTGGTAGTCTCAGAAATTGTGCAAATTGTTTCCGAGTGAGTTTTTGTTATTAACGGTGTAAAAGTTTTTTGATTGTTCTTGATAGCTCTAGGTTAACTCACGAAGCAATGACTTTTACTAAAGCACGACATATGTGTTGAGAAGAAAGGAATTTCAGACAACAACATAATCCCATATAGACATGACATGGCAATTGAAATCGATTAAAATAAGTCTAGGTAGCCTCCATAATCCCATAATCCCACATAGATATGACTTGGCAATTGAAACTGATTAAACAAGTTTAGGTCCAAATTAAACAGGTTAAAACAACAGGTGGCCTCCGTAATCCCACATAGACATGACTTGGCAATTGAAACTAGTCAAAACAATCCAGGTCCCAATTAAACAGGTTAAAATGGACTTCATGAATCAATAATGCAAAAACATATCACAAATGACCATTTAAACCGAAACCAATAAGTTCGTTGGGTACAGTGACAATAACTTATGTGTGTGTTCTATTTGTTTGACTTTTCTTGTGCATAACTAATATAATACTTGCAAAATTCGAAAACTGAAATTGACTTTTGGAATTCAAAATAAAGTATAATTGTAAAACGTTATGAATTGAAGTACTTAAATAAGGAAAAACTAGCACCTTAGCATATATAAAGTAGTCTATAACCAAAAGATTTCTAGTCCAACGGTATCAGGTGGTGCCTTCCTCTTTGAGGTCGAGGGTTCAAGTCCCGTCGTGAACATAGGTAGAATTAGGTTGTAGTTTAGGAGTAGATTAATATATTTGTATTTGCCAGTTAAAAAAAAAAAAAAAAAAAAAAAAGTAGTCTATATATACTCTTTTAAGATTTAGAATTATGGTAGTCCCGTACATTCACACAACTCTATACATTGATTATTTAAGGAGAATGTATCCATCTGATGAAACATCACACACTGCATTAAACAAAAAAAACATATTTGTTTTTTTTCGTCTTTTTTTACTTAGGATTTGTTCGGTGTTTATTTTAGGGTTCCTTTGTTTAAAACAATTGTAGCTAAGGAAATTTATCGTTTCAAAGTAACCCCATATACATTAACAAACAAACAATAAAAACATCATACATGTGAATATAATTGTTTAAAAAGATATATTAAAACAATTATAGTAGTATATTACATTAGAGTTTGAAAGGTGCAAACATCTAAAGCTCGCCAGCTAATTAGGGTTTCAAAAGAATCCAAGAGAGAGACGAACTGAAGTTGGTAGCAATAAGGCGATACACTAACATTTGCAGAAGCAAAGAAACTTCCTTCCATTAAACCAGCTCCTATCTCCTACATCAATATCTGCACTAAAGTATAAAAATTATACAATGATTACATATATAATAAATTGTATAAACTTAATTTATCCAATTTATCAGGCTAATAGAAAACCATATGCCAACTCAAAATCGTGTCTCTTTGAGAAAAAAGTTATCAATATTGTTAAAATTTAATAAAAAAACAAACTGAAATTATCTGTATCGAATTTTTGATGTGGAGTAATATCTGAAAGCTGTCATGTAAGAGATATGTCATATGTGAACAGTGTATACTGTATACGTACCTGTTGGCGCATACTGCTCTTGTTGACAGCAGTAGTTTGATCACCCATGAGACCAAAGTGAATGTGTGGAAAGTGAGCCCACTGCAAAAGATCAACATTATTTTTTTTTTGTTAACAATTCATTTTTTAATTTCATGCATATTTTTCTATTGAATTATTTAAACAATGTTACTTCTTTGGTTAAAAACATACATGTAGATTTATAAAAGAACGTTTATAATGAATCGAATTGAATATTTAATTTATCTTATTAATATGAAGGAACGATTAGAATGAAGAACGTCAGAAAAAATACCACATTGGTATTTAACAATTTTTTTTTGAATGGCAAGACTGTTATTAAAACTAGAGAGAAACTAAATGAAAACAAATTACATTCATAAATCCCTAAGTCAAGTTACCAAGTCCATTAGCTCTACAACTAACCCAAGAAAACGAAAAAAAACAGATCTACAACTAAATGAGATATGGTTTTTGTCTTGCCTTTAAAGTCTTTCTATAGGACTGCAAAACCAACAAGAAGTCCCTAATGAATACTTCAAACTTAGCAACCTCAATCGGGGAGAACATGGTGTTGAACGAGCCTAAAATAAGATGGTCAATTGTGTCCTACTATTTAAATGCCTATCTGGATGCCTTTTCAAATAGCAAGACACGTAACTTCTTTGTTGCCCCCACAACTCAATCTTTCAATCTTGGATTCGAAATGGAGTTCAAAACTCTATCCAATTTTGGAACTTGAAGAATGGTTAAGAAGCTCCTTTTCATGATTCTTTCTTTCTTAGATTGGTTATAAACGTCAAATAATGCTAAAGAACAATCTAAATTTAGTATAAAACAAAGAATAATAGTGTATGTAGGTTAAAAACGAGTTTCATAACTCAATGGACAAGGTTGCAACTCGATAAAATTTTAGTGTATATTGCATAACCGTAGCATACTAAACTCACTACTAGATTGCCAACTTTATCCTATTAGAGTCACACAATATGGAGGGTACCTATTGGGTTATGATTATGTATTTGATAAGAACACCTTATTATGATTTATGAGGAACATGTACCAAAAGGCAAGACTACACACCAGTTTAGGAGTGGAACCAATCCAATTACATGGATCAAACATATTTAAAGGCATAATATATACTGCTCATGCATTAGCCAAACCTGGCCTATCCTAGGTAAGGAAAAATGAATTATAAGTCCAACGAAGTTTCCAAACCGTTCAAAAAACCCCAATTATGTTTTGTCTGCTCAAGAAAACCCAACGAATTTAACCTTTTGTCTTTAAAAAACCCAACTACCTTACATTTCTCATTTAGGGTCAACCGACTAATGAAAGTCAACGAATGATATGTCTTATGACGTGTAATTAAATATCAGAAAATGACTTGTAAGATCAATGAAGTTTCAAAACCGTTCACAAAACCCCGATCATGTTTTGTTTGTTGAAAAAAACCCCAACGAACTTACGCTTTTTCTCAATTCTCATTAGAGACAACCATATTCATTAGGTATACAACTAGTTGACAATGACATAACATTATATTTAATGACATGGAATAAACAGATTATAATTGCCCTTTATATATTGATTTAGGGCTTGGAGAAGAGAAAAGCGAATGACGTCTGTGTTCGATCTCTTGTAATAGCTACTTCTTCTTTTTCCTCTCAATCGTTGATGTCCAACTCAAGATCTACAAAGAAGATATGTGATGATGAAAACCCTTGTGGATGTGGATGCCCTTCTTGGATTTGGACATCTACAACAGCGAATCATCCATAGAAAAAAGTTTAGAGCTTGTTCGAACAGATGTGTAAGTGTAATTGAAAGCTTTATCATGTCCATTTTAATAATTTTTTTTGAAAGAAACCAAACAAATAGATAGAATATGGACATGATAAAGCTTTCAATTACACTTACCCATCTGTTCGAACAAGCCTTGAACCTTTTTATCTGGATGATCCTCCGTTTTTGATGTCCAAACCCAAGAATGGAGTCCACATCCACAAGGGTTTTCATCATAAAATATCTTCTTTGTAGATCTTGAGTTGGACATCAACGATTGAAAGGAAGAATAAGAAGCAACTATTACAAGAGATCGAACACAGACGTCGTTCGTTTTTCTCTTCTCCAAGCCCTAAATCGATATATAAGGGCAATTTTAATCTGTTTATTCCATGTCATTAAATATAATGCCATGTCATTTGCCAACTAGTTGTATATGCAATGAATCTGATTGCCTCTAATGAGAATTGAACACAAGTGTAAGTTTGTTGGGTTTTTTTTTTCAACAAACAAAACATGATTGGATGATTGGGGTTTCTTGAACGGCTTTGAAACTTCGTTGGTCTTACAAGTCATTTTCCGATATTTAACTACACGTCATAAGCCATGTCATTCGTTGACTTTCATTAGCCGGTTGACCCTAATTGAGTAGTGAACGAAAGTGTAATTTTTTTGGTCTTTTTTAGACAAAAGTTTAAGTTCGTTGAGTTTTCTTGAATAGACAAAACATAATTGAGTTTTTTGAACGGTTTGAAAACTTCGTTGAGCTTATAAGTCATTTTTTCCTTAAGTAAACCCTGACTATTCCATATTTTATAGATATGAGTGTCTTGGACAATTATTGAGGGTTTATTAGGTTTATTATGGTTCTAAAGCTATTATAAGGTAACAAAATCGTTATATTTAAGAGGTATGATCCTTAGTTATAGGGGACTGCCATGGCACCAAGTTCGTACCCGTTGTTTTGACCTCTATAGAGTGGAGCATGATCAATCCTAGTCTTTAGAGGAATTCATACCTACAACAACATGAGTATAATCCTAGTCTTTAAAGGAATTCATACCTACAACAACATGAGTATACCCCCAACGTAAGTGTTACTTGGTTCTTTTTTAGTATTTCACTGTACACTTTTATAGTACAAAGGCTAATCTCATAGAAAGTAATTAACGATTTCAGTTCATTTTTA